TCTCAGATGCATACGTTGTGAGTCCGGCCTGCGATGTCTTCGTGCGTGTCCAGCTGGGCATCCTGCGGCCAGGGGAGCGCGCCATCATGGGCTCCTGGGGTTGGGCTCGGAATAGAAGTGCGCCCTGGCCTATCTGGCAGCATGCACAGCACAGGCAGTCTGCTTCGAAAAGGGCATGCGTGGAGTCAGACAGTGAGGTCAGGTGAGATGGTGAGACATTCACATTTGAGCGTTGGTTGTGTGTCACATGTCCTCGCCGTACTTAGAACCACATCGTGGACAGAAGCTCCATTCTAGACCTCCTTGGATTGCGCCGCGTTGTTTGCAACTAGCTGCTGCTCCTGCTTCGCGAGGCTGATCGCTGACTCCACTGACTATGTCACTGAAGGCCTCCCGCACGGCTTGTCTTTGCTTCTGCTTGGTGCATGGCGTGTCAACTTGTTGCAGGATTCAAGCTCTGGTCACCGTAATTGCTGAAACGCTTGCAGCGGTTCATCCACGAGATGAGGGTTCAGAAGCAATACCTTAGCTGAGCTGATGGTTTAAAACAGTACAAGTGCGAGGGCAAGATCATGTGCTCGGGGTGCCGCAGGTGCCGCTGCGAGGCTGCCAACCTGGCGCCAGGCTGTTCTGCTGGGCTTCAGGGAGTTTCAGGTTGCCATTTCTGTCAGGCTGGCACGGTGGAATTCTTGCGGGGTGAGACTGGGACTTCTACAAGTTCTCTACCTGCTTCGCATGTCTTGGTTGATTCATGCCGCAGTGTTGAAAAGGGCAGGTGTGCTGAAGATCAAAGCCCCTGCAGGTTTAGGCATGTTCAGAAGCACCATTCTGTTCGTGTCTTGCGGCCACAGGCCACGCAGAAATGCACGGCTTCTGCGGCCGCGGCGGGTGGCTGAGTTGGAACTTCCTCCTTGTCCTTGTTCAGATCTGCGTCAGCAGCCAAGTCTTTCAATCCTTGTGTGATTCCTTGGAACGCTGAAGCTTGAGCATCACGCTGTGCCCTTGTTGTGGGCCGGAAGTAGGTCGTGTCCAGAATGCGGCAGGAAGTGCCAGTAAGCATGGAAATTATTGTAGTAGCAACTCCCTGCTGCTTCATGAGGGTCACAGAAGTCTTCTTGCAAGAATGTGAGCTCAGTCTGCTCAGCATGGCATCTTCGAAAGCATGTGCAACACCTGGAATTTTGCATGTCGCCACCTGCTCTTTGATCACAGCCTGTGCAGCTACGAACATGTAATGGAATGCTCGCGTAGTGACAGCCTTGGTGAAGTTCCGTAAATTATCACCTCCCAACTTCCGACCTGGAAACAGCAGCCGACCCTGCTGACTTTTGCCATTTCTTCCCAGCTTCAGCTTTTGGTTTGAGTGCGGCCAGAGACGGTCACCTCCTCCTTTTAAGCCTTCGCTCGCCCACTGAAGAAGCAGGTGAGCAAAATTCTTGTCCAGCGGTAACTCCCGGGCCTTGGTTTTCCTGTTGACCCTCGGAATGTTGATGCCTGGATATTCTGAGTCTGGATTCACGAACCAGCTGTCGCGCGCCTGCAGCGCACAGAAGCAGCGCTCGCCGAGGAACAATGCCAGAGCGAAAGCGACAGCCGCCCAAGGGCAGGCCAGATCCACCAGAAAGACGTTGAACACCACAAGCACCTGTTCAGGAGTCAATGCCTCGCGGCCACCGATGGGACCCCGGCTGCAATGGCTTCTTGGCAGCCTTGCCTTCTCACGATGTTGTGCGCAGCAGAACTTGGCAGTCTTGCAGGTAGTGGCCATGTGACGCACTTTGCCTGCGTCCCAGTCAGACATCGTCAGCGTGTACGGAGAGTTTTTGACATCTGCACTTGCCTGCCTGCAGTGCTTGAATGCACACCTGAGCTTCACTTTGCTGGTGGCCGTTCTTTTGGGACCTCTTTTAGGCACCCTGATCTTGGGCATCTTCATGGCTGCAGTCTAAGAACCAGATGCAAGCAGACCACGTAAGACTTTGGCAGACTCAAGTGCTGAAAGTCTTGTTTACTCATGTCCCAGGCTGCTTCTGGACCCCACTTCCTAAAGCTCCGCCATTTAGGAACTGCCCACTTCCCAGGTCTTGTTTCCGGGCTGTGCATTCCTGCCTCGGGGCGCAAGAAATGCTTGAAGCCGCTGCCTGGGAGCGTCCGCTGAACATGTCCATGCTGAATGGCTGAGACGTTTGGGTTCCGGACTTGGGGTTTCATGGCTGGCACTCAACATGTCCATGCTCGAAGTGCACGTGTGAAGCTTCTCAGACATGTTGGGTCGGAGCTTCACTGGGCTGAAATGCGTTCCAAATACTATGCCATGCTGAGGTCAGACCTCGAAGATGTGCCAGGAGCGCCTGCAGGCGCTCCAGCGCACGACACTGGCAGTCTAAAAAAGCTTTCAGATCCACATTCCTTCTTGTAATGTGAATGAGGCAAAGTTACCACAGAGGTGTTGACAAGATGCGATAGGGTTGCCTCAAGACGGCGACTTGTACTGCCTTCCTCAACACTAGTCAAGGGTAGGTTTAACTGTCTGGCGTCTAGCAGCACATCCATTGCAGGCGGGGCCCTGGCAAGAGAAGTGCACCGGTCACGACCTCAGCTGGCTGCACCACACAGGTCTGCTGAGCGCATACATGAACCTGCAAGTCCTTTGTCCCTTGCAGTTCGCAAACCAGCCGCATGCCAATGCCATGGAAGTTGCAAGTTTCAGCACATGCAGCAACGTAGCA